TGACTCAGTTTCCTCATCTATAAACCAGGGAGAATTATGGTTCTTATCTCATAAGGTTGATGAAAAGATTAAATGAGTTAATATATGTACGGTGCTTAAATCTGCCTTTTAATGCTATATAAGCACTTGCCATTATTATTAAGATCCAGATATTTATTTATTTACCAATTCAACAAAAGTTTACTAAAACTAAGATACATAAAGATATTCTAATACCAAGCATTGCTTTCGATTTCTATTATCTGAAATACTGATAAAGCCTGGGCACATGTTCACCTGGGCTCCCAGAGGACCCTCTTCATATAATGTTCAAAATAATATTCAACACCCACCATGTTATTCTGAGGCTGTCTGACTGTTTAGGGTTGGTTTCCCCCACTGGCCTAGGAACAAATCGAGAGGAAAGACTGGATTCTGTTCACCTGCCATCATAATGGCTTTTGTCTTCAACACTTGGTAAAAAGTAGCCCCAGTATTCGTATGCAAGGAACAAAAAGGTGCAGGAAGCTTAAGGAGGCAAGACATGCTTTCTTCTCTCTCTTCCTGCTGATCCAGTCAAACAGGTTCCCACCTCAGAACCTTTGTACTTACTGTTCAGGTCCTGTAGGTGATTCTCACCCACTCATTCACCACTTCATTCATATCTTTTATTAAATGTCACTCCCCAGATCATCCTATCCAAAGCCCTGGCCAGCCTTAGTTAACTGTCTCCTACTCTGGTTCATACATATCCAAAACCAAAAATCAAACCCACTGCCATTGAGTTGATTCCAACTCATAGTGATCCCCATTCGGTTTCCAAGGCTATACATCTTTATGGAAATAGATTGCCTCATCTTCCTCCTATGAAGCAACTGGTGGGTTTGAAGCGCTGACCTTCTAGTTATTAGACAAATGCCTCATCCCACTACACCACTAGGGCTCCTTCATACATATCCACAGCCTTATTATTATTTGAAATTGCATTACACATCTTTTTGTTTATTGCCTTTTCCCTCACACTAAATATAAATTCCTGAAGGGTAGAGATTATTGGTATATCTTACTCATTGTTGTATTTCTAGCACCTGGGATAATGCCTAGCAGATGATATTCAATAAATATTGAATAAATGAATGAATGAGTGAATGAATGAATAAATCCAAGCCTCTCCTCTCAGTCCTTTCACAGGCATTATTCTGGAGCTATTCTTGTCTAAGCACTATTGACAGTAGCACTATTGACATTGCAGGTCAGATAACTCTTTGCTGGGAGGAAGGTGTCCTGTGCATTGCAGAATCTTTTTTTTTTTTTTTTTAATTGTGATTTGGGTGAAAATATACAGAGCAAATTCACTTTCCATACAGTAGTTCACATACACTTTGTCTCATGACATTGACCACAATTTACTACAATGCAACAGCTCCCCTCCCACTTCCTCCCCATAGTTACCTCTTCCCTGTGTCCATCCCTCCATGCATTCCTACCCCCTGAGCTGTCTTCCTGTGCATAAACAGCCCTTCTTTCTCCCATGATTGTTCTCTCCAAGGAGTGTATCTACCTCAGGAAAATGTTCAACTCATATGCCTGTCTTTTGTTTGACTGGAAGCCACAGGTGTGGATTCAATTCCAGACCTGAAGGGCAGTTAGGGGCCATAGTCTCAGTGATTCCACCAGGCTCTATCAGATCAGAAAACCTGGTTTCCCCGTCTTTTCTCCTCCAAATGATTTTGAGTTTTGTTCCACATTGTTCTCCCTCTCTATCCAGGATCTCCTACAAAGATCCCCCTCCGAGTGGTTGACAGTGGTAGCCGAGCACCACCTAGTTCTTCTGGTATCATAGTCATGTAGGCGCATTGCAGAATCTTTAGTAGCTACTCACGAGATGCCAAAGCTTCCCTTGCCTGCCCCAAGTCATGACAATAAAAATTGTCTCCAGGCAGTGCCAGATGTCCCCTGTGGGGTCAAAATGCTCACCACTGAGAACTACTTGGAGAGTGTGAGGCTGACTGAGCTAGTGTAAGCCAAAAAACCAAACCAGTTGCCATCAAGTTGACTGTGACTCACGGTGACCTCGTGTGTTTCATAGTAGAACTTTGCTGCGTAGAGTTCTCAAGGCTTTGACCTTTTGGAAGCAGATCAACAAAACTTTCTTCTGAGGCTTGTCTGGGTAGGTTTGAACTGCCAGACTTTTTGTTAGTAGTCACACATTTCACCATTCATACCACCCAAGGGTTCCTGAGCTACTGTGGTGGTTACTATTGTTATTTTTTAAATAACTAAAAAAAAGATGCTTAGTAATGAAAAGAGTATAGATGTCTAAATGAAAACTACACATTATCCTGAAGCTTCACCAAAGGCAATAATGTCAACTAATTGCTATTTGATGATTATAAAAACTACTAGTAAGTGGGCAGGGAGGGGTCCTCAGAAGTCAAACTTATTAAATATGATGACTGGGCAGAGTTATTGTATTTGACTAAAACAAAACCTCACCACAGTCATAACCCCAGAACTCTGCAGACACAGAAGGAGTCTCAATAAATGCATGTGATTTTAAGAATAACTCATCTAGTAAAAGACTGATCTGTGATCCTAATTTTAAAAATACAGTAATAATTTTGTATGTATACATTATTTCTCAGTTACTTTCAGGTGCTATGTCATCTCTCCTGGACCTCTTTTTCTTCATTAAAAAAAGTTGCAAGACTGTATGTATCCTGACTTGTTTCTGATCCTGAATTGTAACCTATTATTTCTCCAGTAAACTCCCTAACTGTGAAAATAAATAAATGGAAGTTATCTGATTGCCATTTCCTTTGAACTTCTATATATTTTGAAGACAAATGGGAACAACAGAGGGGAACAGCCAGGCTGCCTGTGATCAATAAGGGCTTTGGGAATATGTTTGGGTCCAGGGGATTCCAACTCTAGTGGTAACAGGGATAAGCAAGAGCTCACTAGTGTGTTTGCCTCTGAAACAACATGGTGGGTTCATGATAATCTTCAGTTATGTAGTCCTTGCCCAAGCATGTGTTTGCTATATACTTAAACATAAGTGTTGTCCTTCATTTGTGAAAATTATGTAAACCTATACTGTAGACTTGGAACTATATACTCAGGAGAAGGGATAATTTTGCCAAAGAGCAAATGTATGTGCATATGTGTGTGTACATGCAAACATCCATGCACACACACATACACACACACACATAGTCTAACAGGAGACATTCATAGAAACTTGGGGAAATGGGTTTCTTCCTGGGATGATGATCAGCCTACAAGGGAACCTCACCCAGGAACCTGATCTTATTATTACCATGCTTCATAAACTTCCATCTAGATGGAAAATAATGAAACCTGACTCTCAGAAGGGAGCGCTAGTTAAGTGCTTGGCTGCTAACTGAAGGGTCAATGGTTCAAACCCACTAGCTGCTCTGTGGGAAAAAAAGATGTGGCAGTCTGCTTCTGTAAAGATTTATAGCCTTGGAAACTGAATGGGGCAGTTCAACTCTGTCCTATACGGTCCCCATGAGTTGGAATGACTCAATGGCAATGGGTCATTGGTTGACTCTCCGAAAGGGGAAATTCTGTACACACCTTCTCACTATGGCATCTGTAATTAGAAAATCAGCACTTTCTGATGTGAGATGTGCTTGAGAAGGGGCTGAGAAAGGCAAGAATATTATGGTGTTTGAGGTGATGGAGAGGCCTGAACCACTGAGCTCTATAAGTTGTTTGAATCCCTTTACAGGAGTCAGATGTTACATTTGTCAGGTAAAAGTTATTATCAGCCTTCCAAGAGATGGTGCTGCTGTAAACCTCGCCAAACATCTGATAACACATCTTGCCTTTTAAAAAATGGTTAGACTCAGTAATACTATTTTTTTTTCATCTATTTTTCTAGGAAATCTTGGCAAGTTTCTACTTTTCTAAATACTTCTTATAGTGGAGTAAGAGTCCAATTTAAAAAAAAAGTGAATATTTTTCTTGGTCTTATCAATAAAATTGTAAATCAAATTTATTCAAAATTTAGAACCTTAATTTTCACAAGTGACAAAGATAGGCTGAAGTTGGGCATTGGGAGGAACAACCCAAACTGGTAGAAATGTTTTCCCCTTCCCTGTTTTGGTTTAAAAACAAAAACTGTTTTGTCTTAGATAGAGGTGGATTACCTAATATGCAAAATAAACTTGGGCTTATCTGTGCTTATCTGTAGTGAACAGTTTCACACATTTTTCACCACATTGTTGTTGTTGTTATTGTGTGCCGTCGAGTCGGCCCAGACTCCTAGCGACCCCTCCTTGGGTTTCCGAGGCAGTATCACTACGGAAGTAGGATTGCCCAACCTTCCTTCCGAGGAGTGGCTGGTGGGTTTGAACCGCCAGCCTTCTGGTTAGCAGTCAAGTGCTTTAGCCACTATGCTACCAGAGCTCCTTTTCACCACATTAAGATACAGTATAAGTAAGCACAAGTAAACTTTACTTACTGAGTACTCCATCCCTGCCAGGGATTGTAAATGTGAAAAGAGGCTTTCATTCTATAGGAAGGTACTGTGGGGTTGGGAGACAAATGCTACCCAAACCCAGCCAGAAGCAGAATCTTTGATGTGGTGTAAAAATGTGAAATTGTTCACCACAGATTAGTAAGTGAGGAGCTCCAGTGGCATAGTGGTTAAAGCATTTGGCTGCTAACCAAAAGGGTGGCAGTTTGAACCCACCCGCCACTCCATGAGAGAACTATGAGGCAGTCTGCTTCTGTAAAGATTTACAGCCTTGGAAACTTTATGGTGCAGTTCAATAGGGTCACTATGAATTGGATTCAACTCGATGGTGATGGATTTTAATGGGATTAGTAAGTGAGCACAAGTATGCCAGTGCTCACTTGATTATCTGGGTAATCCAACACTGAGTCTTAATTACACTTGTGGTGAATTACATAACATTTAACACTTTTTCCTTAAGAAGAAATACTAATTCAAACGGTTTACAAGTCTAAATTAAGAACTTCTTACAACATACCTTTAGAACAAAGCAGTAGTCAGTGGGAGCTTTATATTTCATTTTATACTGAGTCCCATAGTAAATGTTGACATTTTCAAACTGTATAAAACACGCCAGATCTCGAGATGTCTGAAAGAGAAGGGAAAAAAATTACTTCAACCGAGATGACAGCTAGTACTTTTCCAAAGTTGTTTTTGCTGGCACAGCTGAGAATTCCATTTTAGTTGAAAAAATATTGAATTTTATGTAATTTATTTTAAACTTCTACCATATACAGTTTTCTAAAAGCCAAGCCTGCATTTGACAAGGTGAAACAATGCAACTAAGGCAAGGCAGCACGCCACTGGCCCAGAAATGGAGTGAAAAATTACACAGCATTCGAGCACCTGCACACTGACTTTCAGAATAGCAGCTAGCTGACCTTGAGATGGCATTATTGATGCAGCCAAGACAAGGTGACCACCTAGTGAGATATTTCATTTTTGCTTTTGCTATTGGAAGTCAGTGATGGATTTTGTGATTGCGCATTTACCACCCCCCCCCCCCAAAAAGAGTCAAAAGTCCCCCTTCAGGACAAACAATGAAAGGCAAATTTGATTCTCAGTAAATTGGTGCACTTTTCTTCCTGACAGGAAAGATTTCTTTAATGCTTTCTATTTAGTGCTATGTTGCTATGACAACAGAAACCTCTCCTCCATGTATAATCTGCACTGTGAAGCCTGCAGCCTCAAATCTACATATTTGGTTACACTTCAATTACAAACTTGTCCTATTGTTCATTTCCTTTACATTCTATAATTCTTTACCTAGTGTTTTGGTTACGTAGTGCCACTCTGACAAGAATGTACCACAAATGGGATGGCCTTAACAAACACGAGTTTATTGTCTTACATTTTGGAGGCTTTAAGTCCAAGTTCAAAGTGCCAGGCTCTAGGGGCTGTGTGAAAGCCCCTTGACCTTGGGCTTCAGCTCTGCCTCTTGCTCTCAGCCCAATGAAGCTCAGTCAGTCAGGAAGCTACTGGCTGGTGAGGCTAACCAACCCAAGGTTGACAAATAAAATGGCACAGTCCCAGTGTTACCAAAGCACACAGCAGGCCATTAATTCAAGTCCACTGTGAGACCCAAGGTCGGCAGAGCATGACAGGCTGCTGAACAATGACGTGGCTACACGTAGGGTCCAAGCATGCCATAAGCTAGAGACTATTCCCAAAGCTTTTTCTTACATACAGGAAGCCGACCACATCCCTAAAGCAGCTACTCAGCTGCCTGTGGTAGGTCCTACCATGGAGATGATTGCCAGTCTCATCATAGGGAATAACTACCACCAGCTGCCCAGCCACTCAACCAGGCCCAGCCAAGTTGACATACAAATTTAACTACCCACACTTAGTTAGTGAATAAACAAAAAGGGCAGAATTGCTACACCTTAGTGCACAATTTGCTATGAGTTGGAGCCAACTTGACAGCACCTAACAACATTAACAGCTGTTTTGGTTACCTTGTGTTATTCTAACAGAAATACCACAAATGGGTGGTTTTAAAACAAACGGGTTTATTCTCTTACAGTTTAGAAGGCTAGAAGTCTGAGTTCAAAGTGCCAGCTCTAGGGGCTGAGTGAAGGTCTCTTGACCTTGGGCTTCAGCTCTGCCTCTTGCTCCTGGCCCACTGAAGCTAGAGGCTTCTCTTAACTCAGGCAGCTGCTGGCTGCTGAGGCTGACAAATCCAAGGTTGACAAGTAAAAGGCACAGTCCCAAAATTACCAAACAATATGGCAGGCTACTAGTTTAAGTCCAGAAAATGTCCCAAGATCCACATGGCATGGTAGGCTTGTGAATCAAGATTCGGGTACATGCAGGGTCCAAGTGTACCACAAAGCTTCAGAGACTTCAAAACTTCTGCTTATATACTGGGAGCAGACCACATTCCTAAGGGGAATAACAACATCCAGCTGCCCAGCCACTCAAAACCAGGCCCAGCCAAGTTGACACATAACCTTAACTACCATAACAGCACACAATTATTTCTTTTAATTCTTTTTATTGTGATTTGGCTGAAGATTTATAGAGCAAATTCACTTTCCATACCATAATTATTTCTTTATATGTGTTTGTATAATTTTTTTCTTTTAAATATTTACTCCTAGATTTTCAAGGTCTTAGTTTCTTAAATTACAAAAATAATACATATTTTATTATGTTTTTTGGGAAGGTTTACCTAGCAGTTTAGGTTCCTATTCAAAAATTTCTACACAAATTGTTCAATGATACTGGTTACATTCTTCACAATGCATGAATGATCTCAATATTTCCATTCAGGTGGTTCTGTCATATATATATAGCAATATAGTCATATAGATAATAAAAGGGAAAACATTCTTTCACCACCCTTTTTCCTAATTCCACTCTTTTCTGAAGGCATAAATACTGTTTGGTAGTCTTCCAAATGTTTTTGGTAAACATTATATATATATATATATGTATTTGTAGACAAACACACATACACATACATACAAATATTTAAATGTAAAATTTTTAAACATGAATGAGATCTTTCTATAAATACTATTCTATGCCTTGCTCTTTTTTGCTTAACATAATATCTGTTTTTTTCTGTATCAGGACATATGAATAGATATATGATATTTATTTAATGCTTTCATAGCATTCCATTCATAGGTGTAACAATTTAACCATTCTGCTTTGGAGAACTATTTAGTTTCTTTTTTAATCTTTTGGTATTATTTGCAAACTGTTTTTAGTATTTATAATTATTTGCACAAAAATACTAAGCCTATGAGTCAATATTCCTGTGGGGCAGACTGCCCAATGAGGAACTATCATTTCAAGGAGTAATGACTTTTACCTTTGTGTAGATCCTGCTAACTTGTCCTCCACTTTGGCTGCACCAACTCACATTCCCACCTCTTGTGCATGGCAATGCCCATTTTTCTCACCCACCTCCACCAAAATTGGGATAGCATCAATAGTGTTAATTTTACCAATCTTATGTGAAGAATTATCTATTTAATTTATATTTCCCTGAGGACTAGTAAGATAGAGCAATTTTTAAGCCAGTGGCTACTGTTATTTCTTTTTCTCTATCAATTTTCACTTAATAAGCTTTGCCTGTTTTTTGACAGTGTTTATCTTCTTCTTGTTTATTTGTTGATATCTTTGTTTTATGGTTATTCCTACTTGCTTATACATGATGCATATGTACCTCTCACTCTGTAGCTGGTCTTCTTGTTTGGTATGTGTCATGTTGTTGTTGTTGTTATGTGCCGTCAAGTCAGACCCGACTCATAGCGACCCCTCCTTGGGTTTCTGAGGCAGTATCACTACGAAGTAGATTGTCCCATCTTCCTTCTGAGGAGTGGCTGGTGGGTTTGAACCACCAGCTTTCTGGTTAGCAGTTAAGTGCCTTAGGCACTACGCCACTGGAGCTAGAGTAATTTTAGACACTCAAATCTATTAATCCTCTGTTTTTGAGTTTTTAGTCTTGCTTAAGGCTTTCCCTACCCCCAAATTATGAACATTTTAACCTGTATTTTCTTTTAGTATTTTATGTTGTTATTATTATTATTTAAAATTTAATCCATCTAGGATTTAATTTGGAAGATGGTATGAGGTAGGAAACTAATTTTTCCAAGTAGATATACAATTATTTTAATGCTATTTATTGGATATCACATTCTTCTTCCATTGTTTTAAAATTAGTCTTTATGTTTGAATTTATCCCTGGTGGTATGGATTGAGTTGTGTCCCCCAAAAATGTGTTGTAAAGTCTAACCCTTACTGTGCTGTTGTTAGATGCTGTTGAGTTGGCTCTGGCTAATAGTGTCTATATTACTACAGAGTGAAAACCCTGCCTGGTCCTGTGCCATCTTCACAGTCATTGTTAGGTTTGAGCCCACCATTGCAACCACTGTGCCAATCCATCTTGTTGAGGGTCTTCCTCTTTTTTGCTGACCCTTTACTTTACCAAGCACAATGCCCTTCTCCAGGGATAGATCTCTCCTGATAACATGTCTGAAGTACATAAGATGAAGTCTCACCATCCTTGCTTCTAAGGAACATTCTGGCTGTACTTCTTCCAAGACAGATTTGTTCATTCTTCTGGCAGTCCATGAATAGCATATATTCAATATTCTTCATCAACACCATAATTCAAAGGCATCTCCTTTGGTCTTCCTTATTCACTGTCCAGCTTTCACATGCCTATGAGGCCCATGGCAATTCATTGGTTAATTTCTTACCTGCTGCTTCCAGGGGCATTAATTGGAGATCCAAGTACAATGATATACTTGGCAACTTCATTATTATCTCCATTAATCAGTTGCTTATTGGCTTAGTTGTGAGGATTTTTGTTTGCTGAAGTGTAATCCATACTAACCCCTACCATGTGGATAAAACCCCATCTGGGAATAAACTTTCTTTGTCATGCCACTGAGGCCGTATCAGTGTAGGGTATATCTTAAGCCAACCACATTTGAAAGCTCAGTTTAGGCTCAGAAGCAAACAAGGACAAACTCGGGGAGATTGATGCCATGTGGAGATCGCTAAGGATCAAGGAACAGCAGCTGAAAGAGACAAAGACTTTCACCCAGAGCCAACAAACAGAGAAAGCCTTCCCCAAGAGCTGGTGCTCTGAATTCAGACTCCTAGCCTTCTAAACTGTAAGTAAATTCTTGTTTGTTAAAGCCACACACTTACGGTATTTATACTATAGCTGCACTAGATTAAGATAGATGGTTCTCTTAATTTCCCTTATACTAGATGGCTCTCTGTTCTGTATAGTTTTAATTACTTTTTTTATTAAATACTTTAACATCTGGGAGGAGGAGTTCTACCTCAATGTCCTTCACAATTTTTTTGTCTATTAATGAACAACATCTCTTTCTGATGAATTTTAGACTCAGCCTGTTAACTTCCCTTAAAATAAATCCTGCTGAAATTTTTACTGCGATTGAATTGAATTTATAGGAGACTTTGAAGAGAAATTGTATCTTTTCATCTAGAAACACAGTACATTCTATTTATTCAGTTCTACTTCACTTTCTTTATTAAGTTTTATATTTTATGTCATACAGGTTTTAAGGTTATTGGTAGGTATTGTGTATTTTTCATTCCTACCAATAGAAACGGTAGATGTCCTGGACCAAGAACTACCCATAATGCCCCCCTGCATTCCAATAGAGGATAAAAGAGCCTTACTCCTAGTGGAGGGAACCCTGGTGGCACACTGGTTAAGTACTCACAGCTGCTAACTGAAAGGATGGCAGTTCAAACCCACCAGCTGCTCCACAAGAGAAAAGATGTGTGAGTCTGCTTCTTTAAAGATTTACAGCCTTGGAAACCCTACGGGACAACTCTATTCTATCCTCTAGAGTCTCTATTAGTCAGAATCAACTCGACAGCAAAAGGCATGGTGAGGTCATTCACTGTGACCTCACCTGTGCAGAAATGGGCGTGAAGTCTTATTAGAAGATGCAGTGTAGTAAATTACTTAGTGTGGCTTTTCTACCCATAGGTCTTTGTAAACTCCAAGGTGGGATTTTCTATGAGTGACTGAGGAGCTCCTGATTGCTGAAGCTATCCACCTGGGTTATTTCTGTTGGGCATGGCACAATACCATGTTCTGGGAGGTTCCCGCTCTCTCTCACGTGCTTAGAGTTCTGATGCTGTGATTGGCTAGTTTGACCACCCTTCCGGGCTCAAAAGGAGGCCTCCTGGAGGCAGAACTCTCTCTGACTGCTGGCTGAGGAAGGACGTGCTCCTGCGACAGACGTGCTGCTACAAGAGACATGTGCTGCTGGAAGAGACACGTGCTGCTGGGAAAGAGACTCAAGAGACACGCATCGCTGAGTGAGACACCGAGGGACCAGCACTGCTGGGAAAGAGACTGTGAGAGACTTGGCTGAGGGACGGTGGGCTGGGAGAGAGACTGAGCGTTTTTTTTTCTGAACTTGAATTGTAGCCTGGTGCTTCCCTAATAAACCCTGTAATCTGTGAGTTCTGTGTGGCCACTGCAGTGAATTATCGAACCCAGGAGAGAGGTGGTGGGTACTTTGGGAGGAACGGTTGGTGAAAGGGCTGGAGGGAGGCAGCATGTCTGGCCTTGCAGTAATAGGCCTTGGGTTACTGCTGGTAATCCTGTCTTCCGCTTGTGGGATTAGAGGAGGTCAGAACATGGGGCTTCCTCGCCGTTTTTGCAGAAGAAGTCTACAATTCATAAATAGGCCATTTGGTGATGCCCTGGATTCAGGAGCAAAAGCGTAATACTTCTGCTTTACTCAGAGGTAGAGATATATCCTGTTTTCAGTTGCCATGCAGTCTTTTCTAACTCATGGTGACCCCATGTGTGCAAAACAGAACTGCTCCATAGGGTTTTCAAGGCTATGACCTTGATTACTAGGTCTGTCTTGTGTGGCACATCTGAGTGGGTTTGAACCACCAACTTTTTGGCTAGCAGTGGAGTGCTTAATTGTCTGCACCACCCAGGGACTCAGATATATCCTAAAGCTTTTTAAAGGTGAACAAAAGATGGAAATGCCTCAGTCTCTAAGAAGGGTCTTAGAAAAAGCTAATGTTGAGAAAAAGAGTTAAAATGACATTTCAAAGAGCTTAGTATGTGCTTATAGAGCTGAAGCAATAATCCCAAATCATCAAGGAAAAGTAAAAGAATGGCCAAGATGCTCTGCTAACTTAGGCAGGGAAATGCATGTCACACATCTCAGAGAACAATTTATATGCTCAGAGTGTAAGGGCTGAAATCTTAATGAAGATCTTATCAAGAACTCCTAATACCTCCATGATTCCAGATAAAGTTTTACTACAGTGACTACAGAGTAAGAGCGTGAATACAGAAAAACAGTGCACTGAACTAGATATGAAAAGTCACAAAATAGTAACAACAGAAAAATGCTCCTACCATAATTTTTGAAACCTGAATTCTTTCTTCTAAAAGAGAGAGCTATGGAAAAATTCAGAAAGGATTTCCATAATTCTGTCCTACTAGCATATTTCCACAAACGTTATCATAAACTGAATCCCACAGGAGAGAGAGTATCTACAGTTCCACCTGAGGATTTCTTACTTTCACTTTCATAAAATGTCTTTTTGCTGAAATGTTTTATTGTTGTTGTTGTTGTTTAAATTCCTTCCCACCTTAGTCTTTCCTTTAGGTACATAATAAATCCCAGAAGCCCGTAAAAGAAAGTAACGCCTTTTCCAGGATTTCTTTCCATCTTCTTTCAAATAAAGAGCTCCTTCGAGTTCTGGCACAATGATTGATGTTCCACAGAAACTTTCCTGCAATTGAGATTCTGGTTACACAAGTACACAAAAGAGACATTTATGTTCACATTTAAACAAACTGAAAAACTAGCCTCTAAACTAAAAGTCGTTTTTGTCTACAACTCTGAGTGAATGCTTATGTTTGTTATGAGCTATATGCCATAAAGGGGGAAGAATAACACAGTGGTTAAGAATCCCAGCTCCTGAATTTGACTTCAGGGTTCTAGGGTTCTTGACCACTTAGCTCTGTGACTTTGAACAAGTCACACTTACTTACAAAATGGGAAAAACCAACTTCATTAGGAAGGTTGTAAGAATAACCTTGGTGTATTGTAAAAGTAAGTATTTAATAAATGCTATTACCATTTTGGAGTCCCTGAGTGGAGCTTTGGTGGCCTAGTGCCTATGTCACTTGACTGCTAACCAGAAGACTGCTAGTTCAAACCCACCAGCCACTCCTCAGAAGGAAGGCTGGGCAATCTACTTCCATAGTGATACTGCCTCGGAATCCCAAGGAGGGGCCATTATGAGTTGGATCCAATTCGACAGCGTGAGTCTGGTTTTGGATTTTTTGGGTGGTGCATTGTTAATGCATTCACTATTAACTGAGAGGTTAACACAGTACTTACTATTCTGACATACATGGGGTTGCTGAGTTGAAATCAACTCAATGGCAACTTTTTTTGCTACAACTGTTAGTACAAATTGGCAAATTATTACTTTTGTGTTAACTCCAAAATCAACTAACTCAAGAAAAGGACAATTACTAGGTGCAAATAAAACATATGTAGGGCTCTAGCATGCTCATTTGTGACCTGTGACCTGGCATTCATTTCATCTGCAGGATGGACTGGGAAAAGAGCCATGATTTCTAGCATGGTGATAAAGTTACTATAAGAGACCTGATGATTCTGTGGTTAAAACACTTGGCTGCTAACCAAAAGTTTGGCAGTTCAAATTCACCAGCCCACTCCACAGAAGAAAGATGAGACAGTCTGCTTCCATAAAGATTTAGTCTTGGAAACCCAATGGGGGAGTTTTACTGTATCCTATAGTACTACTATGAGTCCGAATCAAGTCGGTGGCAAGAGGTTATATAGTTACTATGTGAAAACTCATTTGGAGTTTCAGAAAATCAACTTTGAAATGAACTGCTGCAACATGTCCCCAAAGTGGTAATAACAGACATCTATAGAGAAATCGTCACACTGTGCTTTCATTACCTCACTGGGGCCCTGTATTAATCCAATGCTGTTGTTGTTTGGATGTTGTCAAGTCGATTTTGATTCATGGTGACTCCAGGTAACCCAAAAGGTTTTCTAGGATGTAATCTTTACGAAAGCAGATACCAGATCTTTCTCCCGCAGAGCCACTCGCACTGGGTGGATTTGAACCATAAGTTCTTAGGTTTGCAGCCACCTGCTTAACCATTTGTGCCCAGAGTTCCTTAATCGTTCAATAGGATTGGTAATTTTGCTGTCACTATTATGTGTTTGAGGAAACTGAGCCTCACCAAGTGTACTTGCCCAACAGCCCACAGACCACAACAGGCAGAGAAACACCTCATATCATAACTCTGACTCCAAACCTCATGCCCTTCCTACCACAATTGACTGCTGGGAGAGCAACTGAAAATTCTCTTTAAAAAAGATCTGAAAACGCTTAATTCTGACTTCAGTGGAGCACTTAGGTAATAAAGTATGTGGAATGTTAGAAGATGAGTTATATGAGGATTCATTAACCCTTTTAGTCATAAACTGCTATCCCACTTCATGAAAAACCATACTTTTACAACTGACTCAAAGAATCAACTTAATTATCTAGTAGCTAAATTTCATGAAAATTTGATTTTAAAATACCAACTTAAAATTTCCTTGTGTACCTCAGAATTTCTCACTGTTTTCAGAAGTAAAATCTTAAAATAAATGCAGTTCAAGTCCTTCTCTTTTTCTCCCGGTCTGTAAAATTAAGCTTACCTCAAGTAAGGATTCCTTGTTCTTAGCATTCATTTTCTCGTTTGTTTCCTTGCCATCTTTTTTTCCTTTGTTATCCAAGTAAAAATTCTAAATGAAATGTTAAAAGATCAGATCAGTTAAGTGTCTGTTACCATGCTAGACCCTGCAAGGAAATCACAGTCTTGCTGGAGAGAGAGGGCTCAGCTGTATGAAACAAGCAGGAAACCACAGTGCATGGCATCAACCAGCCTTACTGAATGCTTACTGCAGCATCACAGAGGCAGAAGTAAAACATTCCCTCCCTCTGATGTTCACAATCAATTTGAAAATATTAGCAAACAATAGGAAAGGATAGGATGGCATTTAATTGTTAAATTCACGGTATAACATATACATGCCAAATGGGAGAGTGCAGAATACTGGGAAGGGCCAGAGAGTGGACAGAATGTCAAGTCCAACTCCTACCTCCATGATGGATATTGTGTAAGAGCCCAAAGTCCTATGGAATAGATATTCTGTCTTATCAAGAGATGCTTGGAATCTAGATTGCTGTAAAAGTTAGCAACTAGTTTTTTAAAAATAGATTTTATGTTTTAAAGCAGTTTTAGGTTATAGAAAAATTGTGCAGAAAGTACAGAGTTCTCACATACCGCCCCTCCCTTATATTTCCCCTATTATTAATATTTTGCATACCTGTGATACTTTTATTACAATTAATGAATCAATATTAGTACATTATTATTAACTGAAGCCCATGGTTCACATTAGGGTTCACTCTTTGTGTTAAGGTTTTGGCAAATGCGTAATGCCAGGTATCCACCATTACAGTATCATGCAAAAATAGTTTCACTGTCCTAAAAATACCCTGGGCTTCATCCATTTATCCTTCCCCCTTCTTCCTCAACTCCCAGCAGCCACTGATCTTTTCACAGTCTCTACAGTCCTGCCTTTTCCGGAATGTCATATATTTGGAATCATACAGCATGTAGCTTTTTCAGAGTGGCTTCTTGCATTCTGCAATAGGCATGTTCCTCCATGTCTCTGCACAGCTTGATAGCTCATTTCTTTTCACTGCTGAACAATACTCCATTGTATGGGTGTACCACAGTTTGTTTATCCATTCATCTATTGAAGGGCATTTTAGTTGCTTCTTTCTTTTCACAATTATGAACACAGCTGCTATAAACATTCATTCATGTGCAGGCTTTTGTGTTGACATATGTTTTCATGGCAACAAATTTTATTTTTTAGAAAACATTATATGTGGGCCAATTACAACACAGAGTTTGCTACTTAGCAATTTTAAGGACAGAGAGAAATAGAAAGGGCATTTCAAGAAAGAGACCCAGTCTAAACAAATGTAAGAAAAAAAGACTCTGATTTCAAAGCACTCACCAACAGGTGCATGGTCTTTAAGTTAGGTTTATATTAATTTGTGTATCAGTGCCTTGTTCGTACTGAACATCAATAAAACGTCTAAAAGTAAACATTAAATGCATAAGTTACCTAAAAATGAGTACTGCAAACCAACCAAATCCATTGCCTCTAAGTTGTTTCCAACCTATAGGAACCCTAAATGACAGAATAGAACTGCCTCATAGGGTTTCCAAGGCTGTAATCTTAGTGGAAGCAGACTGCTACATCTTCCTCCTGCAGCACAGCTGGTGGGTTCGAACCACTGACCTGGTTAGCAGCTCAGTGTTTTAACTACTGCACTGTGAGGGTTCCTTAAAAATAATGAGTAGTCAGGGGCTAATTTTTATATAATCAGAGAAGCTGAGGGATCCATGTACAGTACAGCTTGGAAGGCTTTTATATGAAAATATGAGTTTTGTAAAACAATGCATTGAAGTGTGTGTTAAATGTAGAAAATACATCTCAAGAGTACAGTCACTAAACGAAAGTACCCAGTGAATCTAGGCACAAATGTTTATTGAGACCATAGGAGTGTTTTTCAAAGTGTGATCCTCAGATTGTCTTGATGCTTGTTAAAATGGACAATTCCTGGGTTCCTAACCTACTAAACTGGAATCTTTGGGGCAATGCCTGTGAATCTGCATTCTAGTAAGCCCTCAGATGATATTTATGAACACAGAAGTTTGAGAACTGAGCATACTAGAAAGTTAGGAAGCCCAGAAAAAAAAAAAAAATGCTGGTGAGGATGTGGGGAGACTGGAATGTTTATCCACTGTTGGTGAGTTTGTAAATGGTGTAAGCACTATGCCCAACAGCATGGTACTTCCTCTAATAGCTAGAAATATAAATATTTTATGACTCAGCAATCCCATTCCTAGGTATACATCCTAGAGATCTAAAAAGAGACACAAACAGTCATATGCACATCTATGTTCATTGCAGCATTATTCACAGTGGCAAAAAGATGTAAACAACCTAAGCGTCCATCAACAGATGAATGGATAAGCAAATGTGGTACATACATACAATGGAATACTACACAGCCACAAAGAATAATGATGAGTCCTTAAAACATCTCACAATGTGGATGTATCTGGAGGACATTGTGCTGAGTGAAATAAATGAATTACAAAAAAACAAATATTGTTTGATTGCACTTTCTTTTTGTTTTTTGGTATTAGCATCTGTCATCTATCTCTTAAGTGCACAATTTGGTGTCCTCCCATTTCCTAATGTTATCATGGTGGTCACAGATCCTTCCCGTATATCCCTGCCCCTACCCATGTCAGTGTGTGGGCCCCAACTAGCCCAAAATTGATCCCTCTCCTTCCCTCCCCCTCCCGGTAACCTACTAAGTGAGTTCCCTTCCCCAAGTAAAACCTTTCTCTGTCTTTTTACAATAATGGGCTCATACAGTACTTGTCTTTCTGCGATTGACTTATTTCACTCAGCATAATGTCCTCCAGGTCCATCCACATTGTGAGATGATTCACATATCCCTCATTATTCTTTAATGTAGCATAGTATTCCATTGTGTGCATGTACCATAATTTGGTTATCCACTCATCCATTGATGGGCATTTAGGTTGCTTCCATCTCTTTGCCACAGTGAACTGTGCTGCGATGAACATAGGTGTACATATCTCTCACCTTTTTAGGATATATTCCTAGTAATGGAATTGCTGGGTCAAATGGTACTTCTATTTTCAGTTTTTTAAGGAAACGCCATACCGTTTGCTACAATGGTTGTATCATTTTACAATCCCACCAGCAGTGATTGCACTTTTATAAGAAGACAAGAAAAGATATGTATATAAACACCGATGCTCATTGGTAGTTACTAGAAATGGGAAAGGAAGGGAGAAGTATTCTTGAGATAGTAGACACTTGTTATTTTTTGGTGAAAGGAAAGGTAGCACTGAATGTGGGTGAAGTGCACACAATCTGACTAAGGTAAATGATGTCATTAAGAAGTGCACCAGAGAGAAGGACATTTTTGGTAAAGGATATGACAAATATAATTTTGCAACAATAATAACAACAACCAAAAGTATGTGTATGATTATATAAATATATACATATACACAGGTATATATATATATATATATATATATAAAAGCATGAATATGTGGGTACATATGGGTGCACAGATACCTATGTCTATAGGCATGTACATATAGTATACAAGTATGTGTGTGCATGCATGTATATACATATAAATAATAAACCACATGGGGACACAGTTATGGATACCTCTTAGACATATCCAAGTACCTTGCAAAATTGGTTTTCGGGGTTTGAAGGCTCAGGGCCATAGTCTTGTGGGACAACAGTAGGTAATTGGCAAGATATAAATCATAAAGTGTGTGTTCTACATTCCAGTGTGGTAAGTACTGTCTGGATTCTTAAAAGCTTGTGACTGGCCATCTAAGATACAACTATTGCTCTCTACTTGCCCGGAACAAAACAGAAAGATGGAAACTAAAAACTCAGAGAAAAAAGTAGTCTACAGGACTATTAGACTACACGAACCACAGCCTCATCTACCCTGAGACTGGATGAACTAGATGGTACCTGGGCACCACTCCAGACCGTTCCGATCAGGGCCACAATAGATGAATCCTGACAGGATGGGAGAAAACTATAAAATGGAACTCAAATTTTTAAGAAGCACAGGCTTACCGGACCAGTTGAGACTAGAGGACTCCCTGAAACTACTGCACTGAGATGCTCTTTCAGCCTCAAAATCAGAATTATTCCTTGAGGTCACCTTTTAGCTAAATAACACACTGGCTCATTAAATAAAGAATATTGCCTGAGAATAATGAACTTCTTAAAAGAAATCATCTATATGAGATCAAATGATCAAAAATTGCTGTAAAGCAAAGGATGAGAAAGTAAGGAGGCAGGGAAACCAGAGTACTAGAAATGGTAAAACCAAAACAGAATGAAAGAGACTAATGACACTTTGTGAAAAATTTAACCAATATTACTGAATAATTTGTGTGTTGTTGTTAGGTGCTGTTGAGTTGTCTCTGACTCATAGCAACCTTATGTACAACAGAATGAAACACTGCCTGGTTGTGTCATCCTCCTAATCCTTGTTATACTTGAGCCCATCGTTGCAGCCACTGTGTCAGCCCATCTCGTTGAGGGCCTTCCCCTCTTTTGCTGACCCTCCACTTTACCAAGCATGATATCCTTCTCCAGGAAATGGTCCCTTTTGACAACATGACCAAAGTAGGTGAGACAAAGTCTGGCCATTCTCGCTTCCAAGGAGCTTTCCGGCTGCACTTCTCCCAGGACAGATTTGTTTGCTCTTCTGGCAGTCCATGGTACTTTCAGTATTCTTTGCCAACATCACAGCCCCAAAGCATCAACTCTTTTTCAGTCTTCCTTATTCAATGTCCAACTTTCACATGCATATGAGGCAATTGAAAATACCATGGCTTGGGTTAGGTGCACCTTAGTCTTCAAAGTGACATCTTTGCTCTTCAATACTTTAAAGAGATCTTCTGCAGCAGATTTGCTCAGTGTAGTATGATGTCTGATTTCTTCACTGCTGCTTCCAAAGGTGTTGATTGTGGATCCAAGTAATATGAAATCTTTGACAACTTCAATCTTTTCTCCATTTATCGTGATGCTGCTCATTGGACCATTTATGAGGATTCTTGTTTTCTTTTTGTTAAGGT